TGATGCAGAGCACTCTCCAGTTGGTCTGGCGGCATCATTGCACCCCTTGTATCACTCACATGTGTGTACAGCTTCTCCACACCGCTGAAGCCAGTCGCCCGCTCGTGGTGCTCCTTGATCACTCGGGGCAGCTCCTCGAGCGGCACCACGGGGCACCACCGCCACTCTCCGCTGCGCTTGACGCAGCGGCACAGGATGTCCTGACCGCCAGCGCCCTTCAGCACCTGGAAGAACTGCAGCACCTTCTTGCTGTAGTTCTTGGCGCCGCCCTGCACTGCCGCCCCCCCTCCCGCACCCCGCCGCCGCCGGCCTGAGGGCGCCTGCTGGTCGCCCTGCTTGATCCGGATGATGCCCTCTACATCTGACTTAGTGAGAAACACATTCTTGGCGCCGTTTTGGCGCCGTTCTAAGGCATAAAGGATGACAGGTTGGTTCATAATTTTAAATTTGCGGCAGCTGCGGGGTGCGGGAGGGGAGAAATAGAAGCCTTAGAGACTCTGAAAGGCGAAGGAAAGGGAGGGATCGCGGGAGAGAGCGTGCCTGATGAGCCAGACGAATCGGGGGAGGTGCCACATCAGCGGGCAACACATCCCTTCCTCGGGTGCTCAGCAGCTCGCTAGAGCCCCGCATGATGCCTTGCGCCGTCCCCGCCCGCCTCGCGTTGCCACTCCCCACAACCACCCGCCACCCGACCACACCCCACGCCGCCGTTCACCACCCTTTGCAGGCACATTTGGCCCGGTTGGGCTGGTGCCCGCTTTTTAACCTCCAGCCCGCCTGGCGATTAGCAGCATGCCGAGCGGGGCATCGACAGCAGCCCTGGCGGCGCTTGCGCTGCTGCCGCTGGCCCTGGCAGGCGCACCCGCCGACGCCTCCCTCAATGCCGCCGGCCTGCCGCTCATGACTCCCACCAGCGCCTCTGCTGCCAATCACACGTATTATTTCGAGATTCCCATCGATCCGGTCGGCCTGCTGGTGATGCTGCACCGCTGCGGGCGGAGCGCCGAAGACTTTTGGCCGCCCTCTGGCGCCTGCCCCGAGTGCATCGGTGGGTGGCGGCTGCCTGCCAGCAGCTGTTTGCTGCAGGCACAGCAGCAGGCGCCGGCGGCATGCGCGCATGATGCAACGGGGGCCCACCGCTGTCGCCAGCCAGCGCTGGGCGGCCATGCTGAGCTGTACGGCTGCATGCCATGTGTGCGTGCGCCTGGCGCAGGCATGCCCGAGGCCGTCTCCATCTCCCGCCAGGCCCTGGCCCGCGGCTACGCCCTGCTGGCAATCAACTCCTTCAACAGGACCGTGGGATCGCTGGGGAGGTGCTGGAGGTGGGGTGGCGGGATGCCAGGGGGGCGGCAGCTGGGCCGGTAAAATGCGAGTCAGGTGGCTGGTAACCGCCCACGCTCTGCGGTCGCCAACACCACGCTCTGCTGCCTGCTGTGGCGTGTTGTTGCTCACACGCCTTCCCCCTTCTGCTCCTGCACCTGCTGTCAGCTTGGCCACTGATGCCCTGCCGGTGCGAGAGCTTGTGACGGCCTTCCGCCAGCTGCACGGCCTGGCAGACCTGCCGCTGTTTGTCACTGGCTGCTCATGTGAGCCTGCTTTGGTACTTCTGCTGTTGCTGCTCGCAAGAGTGCCTGCACCTGGTCACTACACCACATATCCTAGCAGCGTCCAGGGACGTGTGGCTGGGGCATTGCACATCCAACCTCGTCGCTGTGCCTGCTGTGGGTGCAGCCGGCGGCTTGCTGGCGCTGCGCCTGCCGTCCTTCATGGCTCTCGACGGCATCATGCCAGGTGAGGGCCTCTGGGGCAGCTGCCCGGCAGCTGCCCCTAGCGAGCAATGCGGAGGCGCTGCTCTCTGGCCGGTGTGCTCTTCACCCGGTCACCCGCTGCCTACGTGCGTGCGTGCAGTGGCCATCGGCCTCGACTTGGACTCCTTCCCGCCCAACCTGCCCCGCCAGAACCACACCTACCCGCCGGTCGCTTATTTTCACTTTTCAAGAGACAACACCACCACCACGGTGCGGCTGCGCTGGCGCTGCTCTGCTGCCAGGGGCCCTGCGTGTGGCGAGCTCCCCGGCTGCGCCTCCTGGCCAGATCCTGCCTCACTCCGCGCCTGCCCGCCCGCCTCCCCGTCTGCCTGCAGCAAGTGGAGGCCATGGTCGAGTTCAGCCAGGCCGCTGGGCTGCCCGCCAGCCAAGTCACGGTGGGCGGAGGTGCCAGCTAGCTCAGAACGACCCTCGCTGCAGTGTCGGTGGCAGCGAGGGAGCATGCATGCCGTATGCCGATCCGGCCGCCATGCCCGCTACTGTGCAGGTCCAGCCATCCCAATTCACCCCCGATTTCTTCTCCCAGCGAGACCCGCTGATCAGGCACGCCGGCGCAACGCGGCGCATGCCCCGAGCGGGGGGTGCCTCCTCCCCAGCTGCCGCCAGCTGCGGAGCCGTTTGGTCTCCACTTTCTTTGTTGTCTGCTGCCCTGCTCCTGCCTGACCTGCAGCCTGGCGCTTTCGGAGCAGCTGCACAGCATGCTCAAGAACAGGCTCAAAGTGTTGAATGGCAGCGACTTCCTCATAGGTTTGGACTGCCCTGCTTCAGCACATGGCAGCAGTACCTGTATCAGAAACGGTCTTGCCGCCAAGCTGGATGCCGCAACCTGCCACCACAGTCTGCCTGCCCGCGACGCAGAGGGTTGGACAGAGGAGGTGTCTACAGTGGAGCTGCGGCAGGAGGTGGAGCGGGTGGCCGAGGCGGCGGGCGCCGTGTCCTCCTACTGTGTGGCCGAGAGCGGCGACGGTACCGCAGCAGACCTCACACCAGACCTCCTGTACCATCACGTCCTGTGAGCTGGCAGCTGGCAGCTGGCCGCGGCCCAATGTGCTGTGGCAGCAGCAGGCCTCCGTGACCGGCGCCCCGACTGCCACAGCAAGGTCGGCTGCACCTTCTCCATGCCTCGCCGCCTGACCAGCTGTGCCTGCCTGGTGTGCACCGTCTGCCCGCAGCGAGGAGCTGGGGGTGGCGTGGGCGGAGCACACCAACCTGGGAGACTACACCGCCGCCACGCTTGTGTGGCTGGAGCGGTGTGGCACAGGCGAGTAATTGCATTCACTGTTTCATTATGTGTAGGCCTGCCCCAGGGGCCATCTGCCGCCCCGGCGTGCCAGGCAGCAGCTAGCTCGGCCCATAGGCCCAGCGGTTGCCGCTGCAGCGGCGCGAGGTGGTCCCTGCCTGCCTGCCTGCACAGCGGCAGACAGCCCCGTGCGCTCGCTCGGCTGCCTGGGTGTGCAGTGTGCGCCACCAGGCGCTGCCAGGTGCCGACAGCCTGCCTGCCAGACTCCGACCCTGACCCCTGCTGCTCCCTTGCCCGCCTGCCTGCCTGCAGCCAACTTCTCCGCTCTGGCAGAGCAATACAAGGTACAGGAGCCGGCGGCGCTGTCCCCTTTGCGCACTGCACCCGCCTCGGAAGTGTCGGACGCCTGGCGTGACTGCAAACCCGGCAGGAACTGGACCGAGCCTGCCGGCGCCACCCAGGGCCCCAAAAGCAGCGCCGGCAGCGCAAGTGGCAGCGCCAGCAACAGCAGCAGCGCTAGTGCCGGCGACGGTGCAGGCGTGGGTGGCGGCAGCAGCGGCAACGACACTGCGGCTGCAGTCCCGAGCTCGGCAGCGGCCCGCAGCCGTGTGGCGAGCTTCGCTGCTGCAGCTGCTGCAGCTGGTGCTGCCGTTGCGCTAGTGCTGCTGTGACCACAGTGACGAAGGCTCAGGGCGCATCCCTGCGCTACCGATCCATCCAGCCACATCTCATCTGGGCTGTGCACCAATGCTACATTGATTGGTGGCATCGTGATTCATTGCACTTCACTGAAATTGCATTCAACCTACAGCCAATTTGGCCAAACATTGTAGCCTAAAACAAGCAAAACAAGCAGGCATGGAGGGCTCCCTCATGCCTGCGCCAGCTCTGCCAGCAGGTCTGGAGCGACTGCTCTGGCTTGGCTCCGCCCCTATGGTGCGCAGCTGCCCGCTTAGTTGAATTCGCCTGAGCCAAGCAATGCTTGCAAGATGGCTTTGCCCTCAAAACCTCAGTTCAGAAAAGAATTGCGCCACTGCTGCCAAACTGCGCCAAACTGCCGAACTGCGCAACAGCTGCCGCTGGCGGGACCCGCATCCGCGCCCTCACCCCCGCTCGTGCACCCCCAGCTTGCCCTCGCTGGCGAGCCGCAGCAGGGAGGGAGGCGCCTGGTAGGCCGCCAATGTATCAATCAGCTCGCCGGGGGTGTCGCCGCTGACCAGGATGGCGCGGCTGGAGGGTCGGATGAAGCCCTGCAGGCAGCGGCGGGGGCATGGCGGGATGGCAGCTGCTGCAGTGGCACTTGCTGGGGGCTGGTTCTTCTGCTGGCGCACCACTGGGCCCCCTATGCATGGCGCCGCGGCTTGAGCAGACGCCCAGAAGCCCGCACCTTCAGACCCAACCACCACAGACACACATCACCACACACTCACATCGCCTGCATGCTGTCAAGCAGCCATGTGACACACCCACACACGCGCGCGCGCAGACCACCTCTTGTGTCGCGTGGTCCAGGAAGGCCAGCAGCTTGTTGAAGAAGCCGTTGATGTTGAGCAGGCCCACCGGCTTGGTGTGGAAGCCCAGCTGCTGCCAGGTGGTGATCTCCAGAGTCTCGTCCAGCGTGCCGTAGCCTGCATGCGTGCGCGGCCGGGAGCGCCTGGCATGCTGAGGGCAGTCTTCGGTGAAGGACAGCGGGCGAGGGGCAAGCGCCACGATGCACAGGGCGGTGGGGGTGGTTGGCATGCCATGCTGGTGCGCCGGCCAGGGGATGCACAGGCGTGGAGACGGGCCAGCTCTCGGTACCGCACATACCACACAACTTCCCTACAGGACACCTCATCTGGCAGGACCACTCGTGTGCAGGACCCCCGGCATCCGTGCGCCGCCCGCGGCGCTCACCCCCCGGTATCATGATGAACGCGTCGGCCTCCTCAAACATCATCGCCTTGCGCTCGTGCATGGACCCCACCACCCGGATCTCGCCCACGGTGGTGCCCGAGATCTGCGCCGGGGGTGCATGCGCACGCAGGCCGGCAGCGAGCAGCGAGGGGCGGGTGGGCAGCAGGTGCGGCGGCGGCAGCGGTGCGTGCGGCGTCGCATGCACAGGCGCGGGAGACTGCCGGCCCGACACGCAGGCCTGCCAACTGCGCCTGCAGCGGTCGTCTGCCTGCCATCTACCACCATCTGCCACCTACCGCTCACCTCCCGGGGCTCCAGCGCTGCGGGGATCACGCCGATGACTTGGTCTGGCCCCAGCCTGCTGCCCACCGCCTCCGCCACCGCGCCCATCAGCCCCACATTGCCGCCCCTGCAGCGCCGAAATTCCCTAAGCCGATACTGATGAACGAATACAACTGTGCATCAAGCGCTGGCCCGTGACAGGCGTGGCGGGGGCATGGCACAGTCGGGGCTGCAGGCCAGAGGACAGGGCAGGCGGCAGCGGCGGCGGCGCGCACCCGTAGACCAGGCCTATGCCTCGCCGCGCCATCTCCGCACCCAGCAGCCTTGCGGCCTCTATGTAGAGCGGATTGGAGCCGCTGCTGGCTCCGCAAAACACGGCTATCTTCCTGAACGAGGCCGGCTGTGAGTCCGCCATGGCGATGGCGCTGATGCGGCGGCGGTTCGTGCAGGGATGCTACAATGCGCTGTCAAACGCATCGGCGATGGCGGATGCCGACGCGCGGCATGGGCGCTGTGTCAGGGGCGCAGCGGGCACGGGCCGTTGCCGTGCTGTTCCGTCCTTGCAAGGGTTTCTCCCTGGTGGTAGATGTAGAATGTGGGTGGCACCCATCTTTCATGAGCGACACTCATGCACAGCATTCCACGCCTGACAGCACATAATTTACGACTTGCATGGGACAAGGTCTGGGCCTGTGGAGCAGCAACGGCGGATCCACAGGCGCTTTCAGCTCGCCAGTGCAGCGCGTGTGCGCATGGACAGACATAGTACAAATCGCACTGGCTATGCCGTGCACCTCCTCGCCACTGCTGCTGCACAAGGCTGCATCAGCTGGGGATGGCGCCGTCAGCTGCGTTGGTTTTCTGTTCTCATGGCTGTCAACGGCAAGGGCCCACAGCGCATCAGCTGCTGCCACATGCATCACGTCACTGGGACTGCTGCGCGGGTGCTGTACGAGAACATGGATGGCACTTTCCGCTGCGACGGCTCTCGACGCAGACGGGCGGGTTGCGGCCGGCGGCGGGTGGGTGGCGGCCTGTGACGTTGCAAAGGCGCGCTCGCCCTCTTCTTGCACATAGTTTTGTGCCTGCGATTGACTCGCAAAGTGCTTGCAGCTAAGTCTGCACCAGGAAGGACGGAGCAATTGAGTCCCGCTAACTTCTCACTGCAACTTTGCCGGGCCGTGTGAATGTGATCCATGGACAGCCTGGGAGGGTTGGCAGCCTCAGCCTTCCGTTTTGGAACGATGAGCTGGCACGCTGACCGTGGCAGAGGTTCATGCGCTGCTCTGCATGCCCCTCTTCCCCTCCGCTTCACTCCGGGCGTCATCAGCTGCTATCCCAGAGCGACATATCGCCGCCAACCACCCCTCACGGCCTCGAGGCTGCTGGCGCCATGCCGCTTATTTACAGCTTTGTGGCGCGTGGGAATGTGGTCTTAGCAGATTACACGTCGTATACAGGCAACTTCAGCACCGTGGCGCTGCAGGTGGGAGGGGCAGCGGCAACGGCAGCCACCGCGTTGGCCTCCCAGCCCCGCTGCTCGCCCCAGCCGACCTCCAGGCCGGCCCCGGGGGCGGCCGCGCGCTGGGCGTGCGCCGCCGATGTGCCTGTGGGCCCTCTGCCGCCGCTGCACCTGCCGCCTCACAGGTGGCCGCTGGGCCCTGCCGTGTGCAGGCGTTGGAGAAGGGAGGGCAGGGCGCCAATGCCAAGTTCACATACTCGTGCGATGGACACAGTGAGTGGGCGCTGGGGCAAGGGATGTATGCTGTCCAGCAGAGGGCTGGTGGAGGGCCGGCCGGGGTGGCTCACGCCACCGCCGCCGCCGCTCTTGGCAGCCGCCCTGGATCGTCTCCAGCATTGGATTGGTGTTGCACGATGCACAGCAGCAGCCTCGGACAGCACCGCAGCCTCAGACAGCAAAGCCGTCTGTACCGGTGTGGGTTACTGTGGTTTGCATCGGCTGTCGTCTGCCTGCTCTGACCCCGTCTCCTCGCCACTCTCCTCACCTCCTCCGCGACTGTTGTTGCTGTGCAGCCTTCAACTACCTTTCATCCAATGGATACAGTGAGCGCCGTCCGCCTCCGCTCTGCGTGCGCTGACCCTGCATCGCTGCACCGCCGCGGCTGCTGCGCCGCCCCTCCCGCTGTGCTCCCTGCTCCAGCGATCGTTTCCTTCATCCTCCCTGCTCCACTCAACGCCCCGCACCCCCTGGCCCCCCTTGAACCCGCCCCCGCAGCCTTCCTGGTGGTAGCAGACGAGCAGTTTGGGCGGCAAATACCGTTTGCCTTCCTGGAGCGCGTGCGCGAGGAGTGGCAGCAGAAGTGGGCGGAGAAGGGGCCCGCGGCCACGGCGCACAGCCTGGACAAGAGCTTTGGGCCGCGGCTGAAGCACTGGATGGAGTACTGCGAGCAGCACCCAGAGGAGCTCTCCAAGGTGGCCTCGGTGCAGAAGAAGGTGCGGGTGTGGGGGGAGGCGTGGGGCTGGGGGCGCCGGTGTGCGGCAGGTAGGCTTAGCGCCTCGCCGCGCGCCAGGGATGGATGGGCGGCAGCTGGGGCAGTGGCGGTTGGGGGGCGAGCGCTGTGGCCTGTGGGCGAGCGTTTTCAGGCGCCGCGCCGCCGCGGCGGCGCCTGTTGCGGTGCCTCGCGGCAGAGGCTGGCGCTGCGCAGGCATGCTGCGCCCCGCCCACACACCCGTGCCGTGCTGCGCCGTGCTGCGCCCCTCAGGTGGATGAGGTGAAGAACATCATGGTGGACAACATCGAGAAGGTGCTGGAGCGGGGGGAGAAGATCGAGCTGCTGGTGGACAAGACAGACAACCTGCGCTTCCAGGTGGGGTGTGTGTGNGGGGGGGGGCG